CCCTTCCTCCACCCCTTCCTCCGTTGCCCTGATTGCCTTGCCCCTGATTCCCACCTCCTACAACACTGCCCTGTGAACTGGGATCAGGTGACGGTGGCGGGGCCGCAGGTTGGGCCTGGGCCGCGGGGTAGATGGGTGGCGGCATACTCGTTTGCGGTCCGGCTACTGGCGGCGGGTTTCCCCACGGCACAATCGCATTGATCACCGGCCAGGGCCACTGTCCGTAGGAGGGCGCTCCACCTTGCGAGGGGCCCGTACTAGATGATGGAGCCGCCACATTTAAAGGGGCTGCTGCCTGGGTCTGAGGTGCCTGCGCTTTTCCTGATCCCTGTCCGCCCTGCGCCAAATTACGCACTTTGCGCTGGACCTTTGTCAGGTGCTGCGGCACCGGCTCTTCCTCTTCCCAGAGCTCCTCCTGAACAACCTCCTCTATCACTGGCTCCTTTCCTTTTACTTTAACAGCCGTCACCACCCTCCTTTGCACCACCGGCTCTGTCAATACGTCTGTAACAATCCTTGTTACTCCCGGGGTCCCAGAAGCGGTCGCATCTCTTTCCTTTCTCTTTTGTCTTTGCAGGCGTACCTGACGTTGTTCCACCTGGTCCAAACATCCCACTTCCACCCCTCTATCAATGGTGGCCCAGGTGAGCTTAGTGCTACCTCCTCCATGCCTCGTCAACTCGACGGCCTCCGATGGCGTGAGTAGCCCCAGGAAGATGGCGCATTGTGCTTCCTCTGAAATCCCATGGACCTTCCGCGCCCTTTTCTTAAATTCTTGTACAAAGGCCCCTATCATCATAAAATCCTCTTTGTTCATCGCTTCAAGGTCCGTGGTAGTCAACAATCCGTCTCCCAGGCGGTATTTCCTCTGCATCCCCTCCTTGAATCTCTCCCAGCTACCTTGGGCTGCTTCTATGACTTTCTTCACCTCCTGGTGGTAGCTGTGGAGGACATACTGAAGGATGCGTTGAAACTTTACAACATCCGGCCGCCCGACCAAAGCTTGTTCCACCCGCTCTAGCCATTCTGAGACTCTCTCCCCACAGAAATGGAAAGTATCGACCTTTGGGATGTTGCTCGGGTTCCTTTCATGTCGGTCGATGGCCGCAATGAGGTCATCGAGTGTCAGACCCTTCTTCGGAACAACTGATGGGTCGTCGGTCTCAGGCATCTTGATAGCCTTCCCTTTTTAAGTTCCTTGACAAAAAAAAACAAGCACATCCCCTTATTCAACATTATACCTTGACCGGTCTATTCCATCCTTCCTACCTAACCCTTAGTACTTATTTTACCCAATGTTAACACGATCGTCCCTCATACTTCCTCTACTTGGGTAGGTAAATTTCCTCAACTACACTTAGTCATTCATTATCTGTCCTTACCTTCTCATCATTCCTCTATGCCTTTTCTCGTTCACTTCTCATACACGGATGTCGTTCCACCAGGGACAACGGCAGACAACCGTCATCCCCGGCAACGGCGCCACCTGTCGCGCGCACAATCGGTCCGGCACCGCACGGGGGCAGCGCGGGMCCCTCCCGGCCGCGTCACGCAGGAGTTGGTTTTTACAACCCTTCGTCGCAAATATACATGGAGCTTCCAC